ATGGGCCGTCTTGGGGCCGTTTTGGGCCGTCTTGGGGCCATCTTGGGCCATCTTGAGGCCCTCAAGGAGCCCCCAGAGGCCCAAGAGGCCGAAAGTGTTGATTTTCGTTGGTTTATGTACGTTTTTAGGGCCCCAGAAGGGGGGCGTCACTTCGGTCCGGCGGTGTGGCGCAGCTCCCAGGGGGGTTAGGGGGGAGACATAATAATGTAACACAATACAACATGTGGCAAGTATGCAATCATTGGATACATTGGATACGTTGCAGTAAGGCGTTCGCCGAAAAACGCTGCCGCTCAGCACGTCACCTCCGGACGTGGATTCTTAGGCTTACGCCACACCGCCGACCCGCTGGGCTGATGTTGCGTGTTGCTCCTGAGGGCCTCTTGGGCGCCTGTCGGGGGTTTCTTGGGGCTCTTTTGATTATCGAATGTGTTTCTGCACATCCCGCCACCGTGCTTCGATCGACCCCACGGAAAATATCCAGCTATCGAATACAAAATAAGAAGACACGAAGATTCGGTCGTCGTCATCTACCGCTGCCGGTCGGCCACCCCCAGCTCTTCGCTCCATCCTGAAGCCCTCAGACCTCTCAGGCCTCTCGGGGGGGGGCTTTGACGACCGTGGGGCCTCCGGGGAGCTCCTGGGGGCACCCGGGGTCAGGGGCACTTTTTCGCCGCTGCTCCTCGGGGGGGGGGTCGCTCCGCGTCGACACGCAGAGCGTGCTCCAAAGAGGGCGTCGCACTCATCACACCGCGCTTGCCGGCGGAAGGCGGCGAGAGTAGAACGGCGGCGTGTCCGCCAGCGGATGGGCGGCGCCAGAACGAGTGAGACGTCAGCCTGTATGGAATGGCTGCCCGCGGGTGCGCCTTGGCCTCGGCCCTGGCTGCTGCCGCGGTCCTCGCTGCCCCGGCTGTCCGCTCTGGCCTGCTCTTCGCGGCTTTTCCACGTCTGAGCGCTTCCCCCCTCCTCCCCCCGCGCGGCCGCCCTCGTCTTTTTTCCTTCCTCTTGCACGCCGGACAATTCGCATTCCGTATTACCGCATGCCCCGATTAGCCTCGCGTTGGTGCGGACTGCTTTTGCCTCGCCGCCGACGAAAAAATTGGAATGGCGGGTTCCGAGGGGGCCTTGAGAAAACGCACTCCTGAATTCCTCGCGTGTTGAAACCATCACGGCCGACGGAGTGTCTTGGGCAAAGTTGGTGTTCTGGGTTTCTTTATTGGGCCCAGGGGTTTGAACAACAATTATCTGGGGTGAACAACTGACTGTACGCCCCAAATAGGAAAGTACACACCCTTTTATGAATTCGCTGGAGTTGGCTATCTAGGGCCAAGACAGCGCGGGAAAGGGGCGGCAAAGCCGAACTTCATTATCGCCGGGGGAAGGCAAATCGAAATTGTTACTCTCTGAGGTTGAGTAACAACACTTTCACGGACGTGTGGCATGGGATATTATCATTCTTTCAGGCTTCATAATTCACGAACGTGTGGCAGGCTTTTGGGATCCGCCAGAGCGACCAGGGTATCGCTATACTAACATCCCACCCCTACTCCAGTACATGCGTGTTGCCCAGACGACGAATTTACTACCCCTCCCGGGCCCCGAGCTTTATCATCACCCACGTGAGATTATCAGGGGCGCAGTGTTGAGCTACGGGAGAGCTTCAGACCTGTGGGGGCCACGTGGCGACATCAAGCGCGAAGTTCGGGTGTTTGGGGTGGTGGTGCAGGAACAGGTATCCAACATCTAGACGACCCCCCAGGAGCAGTTCACAGGCCGCCTCCTGTCGAGGCGGGGGATCATCCATCACCGCCGCCTTGGGATTGGGCCTCGTCCGGCGGCGGGTACGGATGTACTCGGGCCCTGGGGGGGGGGCCCACGATAGCCAGATCCACCGTCTGGTCAGGTTCCCGGAGATCGATCCCCCGGGCGGTTGTGATGATGACCGGTCCAGAATCCGATGCGTCGATTTTGTCCCATGCGGGTTCTCCAAGGAGGTCTGGCCCATTCCCCAGGTGTGTCTTGTCGTCCAGGGTCGTTTATGGACGGCCCCGGGGCCTGGCGAGGTCTCCGGGAGGCCGAAAACGGCCAAACATTTGCCGTGCTTCCTTTTGCCCGATGGGAGCATGTCTGGCGTCGCTCGTCTTCGCCCTAGTCCTTGTGGTTTGGTGCGACATTCTCCCCCCTGCCCCGCCAGGACTTGTCGCGGGGCAAGGTCGGCCTTGCGTTCTACCAGCAGTCGGGCTTCGTCCCCGTCGACGTGAACATCAGCGAGGCCTGGTGCTCGCAGCCGCTTCCTCCCTGCTCAGGGGCAACGTTAGGGGGTGGATAGGCTCAGGGGGAGTTCGAGGTTCGAAGTTTCGGACGTGTTCGTCGGTTCTTGTCGGCTTTCCAGCCTACGGGTGTCTTCCAGCGGCTGCGCCTCGCCGAGTGCGTTCCAGGGGGGCCCGGATTATCCCGAACGGCCGCCAGAGACCCGAGTTACAGTGGGGGGCCACGCAAAAAAACACCCTTCTTGCCTCCGGGGTGCCCTGGGTTTCCTGGGTTTTGATGGTTTTGCTATGAAAAGCGCGACGTTCCCACACCAAAATTCAATGGACGTCATGGGGTCTCAGGGTTGGTTTCTTGTGGAAGGCTCTTGTGGACTGGCTTCCATTGTATGACCCGAAAACTACCAGGTCGGGACGGGGCGGGGGTGCGCTCAAGGGGGATGCATCGACCCCGATCGCTCACTCGTCGCCGATAGGGGCCCGAGGGAGCCCATGCCGCCCAGGAACGTGCGGAATCGCCACCAGTATCCTATTGCCGATCTATCATGTTTGGTGTATCTCCGGTTCCAGCTCCATGTTCCCCCCCATGACCAGCCTCGAATTTGCCCCTGCCCCTGAGATGCGCAAGCCAAGGGGCGATGACAGTCTCAGGGATGTGCCCTCGACGACTTGAGGGAATCCTCACGGTCGTCGTCGGGATGAGGCGATACCAATCGCAGGGATAGGTTCGAGGCTGGCAGTGTCTGTGGTTCAGTGATGGTGTCGCGCTATGAGCGCACCGGGGCCATCGAGGAAGGCACCGCGGCGCCGGAGGAGGGGGAGGTCGGGGGCAGCGCGGTGGGGGAACGGGCTCGGGGGTGGAGACGTCGAGCCGGAGTGGCGACAGGGCCCCGACGGTGAGTCCGCACGCTCCTGGGCGTGGTGGGATATCGTATCGGGCCCCCTATCGGCGATCAGTGGCCGATCGGGGGGTCGATGCGTCCCCCCTGAGCCTAGCCCCCCTAGCGCTGCCCCCTCAGGAGAAGTGTTCGTCGTGTTGCTCGTGCCTGCGGCAAGCGGCGTGAGGCCCGGTCGTGGTCGTGTTGGCCGTGGCGCTGGTGGTCGTCGCAAGTCCCAGCGGTCGTCGCGAGGTGGCGGCGGTGGTGGCACCGCTGGAAGCCGCGGGCCCCAGCCATCGTGGGGCGCTCTCTCCCGAGCGGCAGCCGTCGCGGTGGGCGCAGTCGCACCGCGGTGCCGCGGTGGCAACCTTTCAAGCGCGGTCGCAAAGAACCCGCCGGCCTACCGGCTCAGCAACCGCTCGGCGTTGCCTCATCTCACCATGAAGCGCACGGGTCCACAGGAGGAGGAGGAGCAGGAGCAGGAGGGGGAGGAGGAGGAGGGGGAGCAGGAGGAGGAGGAGGAGGGGGAGCAGGAGCAGGGGGAGGAGGAGAGGAGGGGGAGGAGGAGGAGCAGGAGGGAGGGGAGCAGGAGGGGGAGGAGGAGCAGGAGCAGGAGGGGGAGGAGGAGGGCAGCGGGTCCTGAGGTTGGTGCAGTCCTCATGCTCCTGGGGGCTCTCCCCCAGCCCCAGGACCGTCGAGAAGGGACTCAGGACGTGTGCATCCTCCGTTCCCTCTCGGGGGAATGCCCCGCGGGCCAGGGCCCAGTTCGCTCACGACCGCGCCTGCTGCAGCCCCACAATCCTCGAAGGGCTCTGCCTGATTTGCCGCTGGAAAGGGGGGGGAGGAGGAGGAGGAGGAGGAGGAGGAGGAGGAGGAGGAGGAGGAGGAGGAGGAGGAGGAGGAGGAGGAGGAGGAGGCGGAGGAGGAGGAGGAGGAGGAGGAGGAGAGCTCGGAGAGCTCGACGTTGTCCAGGTACGGTAGGTTCGCGTCCTGTCGACCGGCGGCGCCGCCGCCGGCGCTCAACGTTGAAAGCCGCCAGCGATTCGGAATCGGTTGACGTTGAACGATCCGACGTTTCGGAAACCGCCAATCGTTCAAGGTTGAAAGATCCCCGCGGCGTCAGAACCCAACGCCGAAGTCGACACCGCGCGAACCTGCCGTACGCTCCCTGGACGAGCTGAAGGCGAAGCCGGCTGCTTCGTCGCTGGGCCGACCCCCCCCGTCTCGTAGACTTTGAGGGAGCCAGCCCTCTCCCAAGGGGGGTATAGCGCGCCAGCTTCTTCATCCGCCGACGGCGGGCGCGACCCTATGGGATCAGGCACCCCTGCGTGGAGAGTACAGTCGAAACCGATGGCAAGGATGGATAACCTTTCCCAAGGGTGCCCTTACATCCATGACTCGTTGGTCCACCCTTGACCACTTTCGATGGCCCGCCGCGTTCGAAAACGCTTCAACACGAGCGCCCAAGGGGCTTGCATCCTCATCGCGCTTCCGTATTATCAGTGTTGACTGTAAGTTGAACGTTGGGGGTACCTTGGGCCAGGGGCACTTCTAGTCACACCCGATAAGTTGAGTCTGCGAAAGTGGTCCACCATTCCACGTGGATCTGGCGTATCGCTGGCGGAGAGGGGAATGACTGCCTCGTGAAGCTCCCTCCGTGCCAGCGGTCCCAGGTGGGGACGGTCTGCCCCGTGGGCCGTGCGAAGCCTGCGCCTCCATGCCTTGCATCTCCCGCTTACGCTGTGTGCGTTGACGGTGCGGTTTTCCCTCCCAGCCTGGTATCGCGTCCTCCTTCCCTTCTCCTGTGCCTCTTCCTGCTGCTCTCGCCACTGATGTCCGACTCTGCCTGCTGTTCTGGCTGCGTGAGAAATGGGGGTGGAAGAGGAGAAGAAGGAGAAATATGAGGAGTAGGAGGAGGAGGAGGAGGAGGAGGAGGAGGAGGAGGAGGAGGAGGAGGAGAGGGAGCAGGAGTAGGAAGGGGAAGAGGAGGCGTGGGCGCAAAAGGGGTAGGGGGTAGGGGGATGAGGACGAATACTTGCGTGAGTGGAAGACGTAGAAGAGGGAGAAGATGAGGCGGAGGATGCGGAGGAAGAGGAGGAGCGGAAGGAGGAGCATGTCGAAGAGGAGGAGGGGAAGGGTGACGAGCGTTCGACGCTGAGGTGGACGAGGAGAAGCGGGAGCAGGAGGAGTCAGATCATCGCGAACGCATGCCAACTCGCACACGTGCTGGCTGCTTTGCTTCGGGGCTGGCACGCGTCGGTGCGTTGACATGCTCGTTCTTCCGGCGGGCGGCGGGGGGGGGGCAGCGCTCCCCGGACGGGAGCGTCCGCGCGGCCTCGGCTTCCTGGGGGGCTCAGCGAGGGGGAGCCGCGGCCTCTCGGGGGGGGCCTGGGGTGCGGGGGTCCGTCGCAGACCAGCGGGGGGGGGAGGGGGGGGGCGGCTGGGGTCCGTCGCAGACCAGCCCAAACTAGGGGAGCAATCGGCTTCGCCACCCGCTCGAGAGATCTTCGAGACCGCGGGCTTTAGGGGGGAAGTAAAAGAGGCACAGGTCCCCAAGTCATGGAGGTTGGGAACGGTGACGCTGGTCTTGCTTGCGCAGAAACGCATGCGAAAAGAACGCCTGCAGTGGGCTTTTGATATCCATTGATTGCTAGACTGCGCTAGCACAATCTCGGAGCCTGCGGCGGGCTGATTGTGATGGCACCAGATTCTTGTTGCCAGAAAGCCTGCGCCTGCGGCGGGCCTTTGTTTCCCATTGAGCTCCCCACTGCGTCCAACATCGGCACGTGTAGGGGACCACATGCGAACCGTACCCCTACCCCCCACGATTTCTGAGGGTGGGGTGGGGTTCACTTCGCTCGGGAGCTCCCGAGCGAAGCGAACCCTACCCTTCCCCTCAATCGTGGGGGGTAGGGGTAGGGTTCGCCTGTGGCCCCCTAACGTTACACGCGCGGCTGGCTTTGCATTACAATCTTCGCTCCGCTGTCCGAGGGGGTGGCCCAGCCAGGAGTGCACCCAGACCAGCGCCCCCCCCACGCCTGCCCGCATCCGCGGAGCCCACGGCCAGGCTCCCACGGAGGGCGCACGGCCCAGCTCCAGGACCGGACAGCGAGGATCCCAGATACCGACGGGCTGGGTCGGGCGGGCGCTATAAGGCTGGTGGCCCAAAGAGGGGGTGAAGAACAGGGGCCTCTTTCGGGCCCCGTTTAGGAAACTGGAGCAAATACATTACCAGTGGCGGGCTGTTTTTCAATCCCCGGATTTTCTGAGGGTCGGGGAGGACGTCGGGGTGGTGTGGTGTATACTTCTTTCTCCGTTTCCGGGGGAAACACCGAAAATGTATACACCAGGATTCCGTATACACCAGGATCCGCTTTCTTGTGCAAATTTCAGTGCAGGGCTGGCAAAAGCGTCGGTGTATAGAGTTCGTTTCCCTACCTTTCTCCCCCCCCTCCGCTGAAGGTCACACCCCCGTAACACCCGCCCGACTGGTGCGACCAGCCCGAGGGAGCATATGCCCATGCCCTGTCAGGACCGCCTGCGATCCGATTCGACGCGGTCCGAGTCGCTGGCTGTTGCCGCGAGTCCGACTCGATTCGATCCGGCTCGATTCACCAGCCTCGGCCGGGGCTAGCCGGAGGCGGGCGCGGCGATCCGATGGCGATTCGATTCGCGACGATCTGCTGGCAAATCCGATCCGAACCGATGTCGCGACTCGACCCAGCTCAGGCGGGCCGCGGCCTGACCCCCCCCGAGGCAGACCCGGACGTCCGCGGGCGGTACCAGTTTGTCCGACCCGCGGCCCCACAGGGAGCTCTGAGAGCTCCCAACCCCGTCCTGCAGGGCGGGCTTCCCGCCCAAGGATTCCTTGTGGCTGGCCTCGGCGCCCGGCGACGGGCGCCGGAGGCGGCAGTCGAGGGGAGACGCTCAGACTGAATCAGGAGGGGAAAAATCACACAGACACAATTCATCGTCGATTTTCATAGGAAAATATGGGAAATGTGGGGGAAGACAAATACCAAGAACGTATGGGAAACTATGGGGAATCATTTTATTTGTGTGTATTTATGTGTGTGTCCCAGGTCCCCTTCACTGAAGCAGACCGTGCCGGGAGGGCAGCTCGGGCCGGCCGCAGGCCTGCTCCCGCACGCTGGACTTCGCGTACGCGGACGCCGCGGCCGCGGCCGCCGGGGTGCACCTCGGAGCGCCCGCCGCCCGCTCCGCTGCCGGTGCGGCTCCGTGGAGGGTGCCCCTGGGAGGCTCCTGGAGGCCTCCTCCTCCTCCTCCTCCTCCATCCTCCTCCCCTCCTCCTCCTCCTCCTCCTCCCCCTCCTCCTCCTCCTCCTCCTCCTCCTCCTCCTCCTCCTCCCCCTCCTCCCCCTCCTCCTCCTCCATCTCCTCCATCTCCTCCCTCGGCGGACATCGGTGGCCTTCGGTGGCCCTCGAAGCAGCAGTTCAGAGCGCCCCAAGCGGGCCCCAGGATGGCCCCTCGGGTATGTTTCAACGGGTCCTCGAGAGGGCCGCGCGAGCGCCCCACGAGAGATGAGCAGGATGAGCAGGAGCAGGAGCAGGAGCAGGAGGAGGAGGAGGAGGAGAACGAGGAGGAGGGGGAGAATGACCAGTATAAACCCAGGAACCGTCAACGATATGGATGCCCCGTTGGAAGACAATCGTCTGAAAGTCCTGAACTATACCGAAACACCATTCCTGGGACTTCAGCCTTTGAATCAACGTTACTGTTGCGTCCTGACGATCCTGAATCGTGCAAGACACCGTTCCTGGGACTTCAACACCCCGAATCAACGTGACTGTTGCGCCCTGGCAGTCCTGCATCGTGCCAGAGCATCAGTTCTGGGACGCCAGGAAGTGCGCGGCGCTGAGGTGCTCGGACGTGTATATGTTTTCTCGATGGGGGCCATCGAGGAGCCTTTGGGGTCACCTTGCGAGAAAATGCACGCACGAAGCCGAAACATGCACGGGGAATGGACGTCCGAGCGATGGCAAGGCGAGAGTTACATTTTGAAAAAGAGCCGCCATCAATCCGTGAAGCTCCTGCAAACTGTTCAATCGATTGTACGAAGCGCTAAGGCGAGAGCCACATCTCGAAAACCACTCGCCCTCCATCCGTGAAACTCTTTGCAAATTTTGATGACTGTGCGCGGCGCGAAGGCGAGAGCCACAGTTTGAAAACGGCCCGCCCTCCCTCTGTGGAGTGGTTGCAAACTTTTAAGACCGGGAGGGCCAGAAGCCCTACCCGCCCTACCGGGACGCCCTACCCCCCGACCGGCCCCGCCCTACCGGGACGCCCTACCTCGAAGCGCCCGACCCGCCTTACCGGGACGCCTCGCGAGAGGGATTAGTAATTTGTAAGGAGCAGGGACTGGTGGTGAGTATGGGGGAGGGGGACCTGCCCCCCCTTTTGCAAGAAGCGCCCCTCTTCTGGTGCGTGTTGATGTGGGCCCTTCCTCTGGACCCCGAGTGCAAAGTTCTGCGTGTTCGACGTGGTGGAGTGCGGCCGTTTCTAAGAAAACGCCCACATTTGCAAGCCGCAGGGTGAACATTGATATTTGGGGGCGAGGAGGGCGCTCTTGCGTCATCTTCTAGACGTTGTCTTATGGGCGTTGTTATTTCGGAAACGCCGGAATCACTCTCTCCTGCCCCGCCCTCATCACCATCATCATTTTCATCACCCCTTGTTCCTCCTGCTGCTCCTTCTCTCCCTCGCCAGCCTCCCTATCGTCCTCATCTTCGGGCCCATTATCCTTACTCCCCCTCGTTCTTCCTCGCCCGCCGATTCCTTCCCATTCTTATTACTGGCCCTTCCTGCTCGCTAGCCTCTTCCTCCCTCTCACCTCCTGTACCTCCATCAGCCTTCGCCTATCCCCCTGTCTCCCCTGCTACGCTGGAGACAGTGGAAGTAGTCACAGTTTGAATGCATTAGTCATGGCAGATAAATGCCGCCGGTCTCAAAGCCGTGTCCACCTGTTGCTACCCCTCCCTGTTTCGTCTGCTTATGTACCCCGTCGTGCTCTTCTCCCCATCATTTCCCTTCTGCCTGTTTCGCACGCTGCGCCTTCTTGTTTTCCTTCGGATCGTTCTCGTCCCCTCCTCTTCGATCCCGTCTTTCTCAACTTCCCTCGGCCCCTCCTGTTTCCTTCTCACTTGAACCCCCTCCCGCCTCTCTCTTTCTCCATCCCATCTCTCCGCCCTCCTCCTCAACCTTCCTCACGTTCCCTCCCTGCTATTCCCTCCCTCCTCCGCCCTCCTCCCTCCCCTCACCACCGGCGATCCGATCCGAGGCGTTTGCCCGAGCGCTGGCATCTCGCGGGCCCGCCCGAACCCCCGCGCCCAGAGCGCCGATGGAGGGACGGTGCCACAGGGGAGGTCGGCCTTCCCACTGCCGGGAGGGAATTCAGCACCAGGGACGGACCGCCGTTGGGGGCCCATCAGCATGCTGCTCCCTCTTTTTTGCCCCTCGGGGAGGAGGAGGAGGAGGAGGAGGAGGAGGAGGAGGAGGAGGAGGAGGAGGAGGAGGAGGGGCCTGATGCTCCCTCCCAGGTGAGCACACTGATGGGTTCCCCACGACGGCGTGTCATCAACGCTGCTGCTGCTCCCCCAAGCCGGGCGGGCGGCGTCCAGAGATGCACCCTGGGTTGCGCACTGCCAGGAGGTCCGAGGAGTGCGCAGGCCTCGGGCGACTCGAGAGAGCTGCGCCAGTGCTTCTCCTGCCAGGTCGGTTGTCTGGGGGCCGTCTCTGGGCCGCGGGCCGCCGGAAAACGTCCCAGGGGATCGAGGAGCAGCCGGTGACGTGAGGGGTCCAGGAGCTCCGGGGGCCTTGGGCTGGAGCAGAGCGCGGCGTCGGAGGCCCGGGTGCACGCGGCGCGGCTGGCGCGAGCGGGAGTTGGACACACGGCCGGTGCAGAAAAAGAGCGCTGTGGCTCCGAGGGGTCGATCGACGAGGCCCGGTGGCCTGGGCCCGGGTGTGTAGCTGTTCGTTGGAGGGGCCTTCCTGGGACCCACCGTGCGGCTCGCTGTTCGACTGGCTCGACCCAAGTTCGGCCCTGGCTCGGCTCAAGTTCCGCTCGAGTCCGACGGACGTTCAGCGCAGCATACGAACATGAGCGGAGCGGGCGGCTCCAGGGGGTAAGATCCAACACCCGGGCGTGGGGGGGCGGGGAACGCACACGCGCCACATGCAAAAGCCGCCTGCCTCCACAGAGCCTCTGCGCGCCAGGGTGCAGATGGCACCGCGGCCTGGCCGGGGGCCGAGCTGCAGGCCTGGCCCGGGCACCCGACGTCAGGGCTCTTGTCGTGGCGTGGGTGCCCGGGGCCTCTCGAGCTCCCACGGGGCCGGTCTTCGTCACGGCCCTGTCCTGCATTGCGCCCGGGCCCGGAGCTCGGCTAGCCGACGGTGGCAGCTGCAGGACGACCGCTCGACCCGACGGCCCCGTGGTGAAGAGGGCGTGGAGGTGGCGGGTGTGCGGGCGGGGCCAGGGCCACAGCGCTCTCAGAGCAGGAAGCAGCCGCGGCGCCCAGTGCCTCCTCCGCGGCCGCAGGACCTCAGAGATGCCCGAGGTGTCCCGGCCCGATTCTGCGCCTGTCCTGGCTTCGTCATAGGTTTTGGGCCCAAGATGCCCCCAGGATTTCTCGGGGTGGCCCAGACGGCCTCCAGAGCACGCCATCACAAGGCCTGAAGGGCCCCGTGGGGCTCCAAAAAGGAGCGAAAAGCTGGGGACACCTTGGGCCAGGGGCACTTCTAGCAACACCCGACAGGTCTGCTGCGTCGCTCTCCCAGCGGCGGCCTCCCCGTGGCACCGTGCATCCAGCGGCGCCGCGGCTCGCCACAGCCCGCGGCGATGGCCGCCGGCTCCCATGCGCGCTGGGCCGTGCAGCTGACCGAGGACGAGGCGCCAGCGCAGCCTCGCGCTCCTCCCCCTTCTCGGAGGGGGGCCATCGACCACACCTGTAAGAGTGACCTTTCGCCAGAGCGACCTTTGGTGCGGGCCCATTGGGGTTCCCCCGATCGCCGAACACGATGCGATGGTATCGCCTTGCGCGCGCGTGTGCTTGGTCCCCCGGCCCCCCAAGGAGCCGCGCACCAAAGGCCACTCTTACCCAGGGTCACTCTGACGCGTACACTCTAGGCGATGCTTAAGAAAACCTGAGTCTTCGGCCAGAGTCTCGATTGTTCTTAACGTTTCAATTTAATTCCTAAGATTTGAATAGACATTCTGGGTTTTTATTCAAATTCTGAGGCTATGAATTTCTCAACCCATTTCTTAAGCATTTCGCAGGGTGTAATTAGCCGAGGCCAGCCTAGACGACGGCGGCCATCCCTGGCGTTCTCTTCGTCCTCTCCGGTCCATCCCTGGAGACGTCTCGTCGCCACGGCGGGATCCGCCTCGAGAAGCGGGTCAGGAGGAGGAGGAGGAGGAGGAGGAGGCCGAAGAGGAGGAGGAGGAGGAGGAGGAGGAGGAGGAGGAGGAGGAGGAGGAGGAGGGACCGCGGGAGGCGTCCGGGGACCGGTTTTGAGCGGGTTTGGGCCGGACGAGAGGGCCGCCGCCTTTTGCCGTCTCCCAGCGTGGTCATGTCCAGTAGTCACTATCTAGGCTTTGGCTCGCTGGTGGCTCACAGGTGCCGAAGTCGTCAGCGGGGGCCTCGTTGCAGAGCCGAGTGGGCGCGTCCAGTATCTCGGTCGAGGCGGACTCCCCCTCCTCCCCAGGCCCCCGACGTCAGGAATCGTCCAGGATGTCGACCCCGAAGGCCTCGACCCCGCCCCTGGGACCCGTTTATCGTCATGGGTAGTTTTGTTGACGGTCCCGAGGCCCGTTAAAGTCGGCCACGCGCAGAGGGGGGTAGGGGGAGGGGGGGAGGCTTCTAAGAAGGAAGCTGCTTCTTAGAAGGCGTGGGCCTTGTCTCTCTCTCTCTCTCTCTCTCTCTCTATCTATATATATATATATAGAGAGAGAGATGTAGGGCCCGCGCCTTCTAAGAAGCAGCCTCCTTCTAATGAGCCTTCCCCCCTCCCCCTACAAATTCTGCGCGTCGCCAACAGGGGCTCCCAGAGGCCGAACATTAGGAAAAACCCTCCGTCCTGATGTCTTCCCGGCTCGAGGGGGTCTGGGCCCCCCTCCGCTGGCCCGCTGGCTCGGCGCCCAATGTGCCCCCCGCCGCGGACTCGGCACTGGAAGCCGGCTCCTGGC